CAGGCCTGGGTCGCTGCCAGTTCTGCAACCCAGGCCTGACTTCCACTATCGGTTCGGCTGAACCGAACCAAACTGGTAACAACCCACCTCTGGTGTGGACTTCAATTCCCAGAATTCCTCAGCCACACAAATTAAAGTTGTCAAGTTTGAGAAACACTGATTTAAATGTTTTTCCACATAAATGGGTAATGGGAATAATCAGTTTGGATTAGGGTGGGATAATCAGAAAACAAGGTAGGCCAATATATCTAATTCTGCTATCATCCAGTTTGGAATTGTCAAGGAAATACAAACCTAGGCAGCATTTGGCCTGGTAGGTTATAATATGATGAACTGACTTAAGAACCAATGATGGAAGAAACGTTGGGAGGTTTCATTTAGCAGAGTTCAATGCCTTAATATTCCACTGGAACTCGACATACAATGAATAGTTTGTTAGTGTACAGAACCACTAGAGAGATACAAGTATCTATTTTCCTTCCCAAAAATAAAACTTGAAAGAAATGGCTCTGTGGTATTATGGTCCTGGGTAGTTTATGTGCGGCAATTCAGTTTTGCAAAATAGTGAAGAACCAAATCATAGAAATCATGCCGGTGGGAAAACACACAAACACACAAATACTTTTTCTTTATATATAAAAGGATAAATAGAGCATTTATTAACACTTTTTTAGCAGCAACAAAAGTGACACAGTCCACATCTTTTCACAGCAAAAGCTATGGCCACATTTTACATCACTTTGAGGCACAAAGCAAAATATATAATTGACTTTTTTTTCCCTCCAGATAAAAGTAGGGGTAAGTTTAGTACAAGAAGAAAAGGAGGGGGAGGGTGGGAAGGGGGACAAAGGAGGAGGAGATCCTTGAGTTGTATATTGCAGTAGCAGGGCCTTAAAATACTAGCACAATACAAGGAGCAGATCAAAAAACCTGAAATGGCTTTTTAAAATACAACACTAATCATTTCATTGGAGCTGGAAATGGATACCTTTTTAGAGCATTTAAGTGGTCTAGTAGCAGAATGAAATTTTATTGTTGATTAGTCTTGCCTGTTTTGCTTTTGTAAAATGTATTAACCCAAACTGTCTCAAGGATCTACTACAAGCTCAGTAGTGACAGTAACAAAGATTAAAAGATCATGCACTTAACAGTACATGGCACTTATTGCTTGGTACACTAACATTACAATTCTGATTGAAGAACTTTCTAAGAATTACAAGGCCTTGATTGGGAGCTCCTCATCCAATGGAGCTCATTTTCTCGGGCTTCCCTAGTCACTTCAATGGGAATGGCAGGTCCACACGCACATAACAAATGCACATATTCTGACTTGCTCCTCAACTGTAGCAAATGCAAGCCTGCACATGCAAAAGCTTGGTGGGCCTCCTAGAGATCTTCCATGGTCTCTGGTTTTCTGGACAAGACACAAAACTGCAATCCATACCCCACTGAAGCCAATGCCCAACCTCCCATGGATTTTGAGATATTAGAATTGCACTGTAAAAGTTACCCTCTTCTTCAGCTGAGCCCCCGTGGTTTGCCACTTTGGGCTCACTATGGAAATGGCTGCTCCTACTCTGTGGTCCATTATAGTTCTATTGGTTTGCAAGACAAATACATCTTATTTTAAAATTCAGAAATCTTTAAAATAGCACTATTTTCTATAATTATACAGCATCTTCAATAAACTATGACTTTATTTATAGAATTGTGGCACAACCTCTGAAAATATGAAAAACTATCCAGAAATAAAGAAATAATTATTTTCTTTTCCCTTTCTTGCATTTACTTTAAGAGCCTTTCAAATAAATACTTGTTTGTTCTAGGGCTATGTGTCTTTGGATTTCTCTGGGTGAACATAAGACTTATGGCCAGTAATTTATACAAACAATAACTATAAGAAAAACTCTTTCATCTTGCTTATTTATTCTACATGGAAGGTCAGACTAAATATAATATTTTTTTAACTGGGTGACAGCTATCAGGAAGACCCTGACACAAACATCTGATGTAATGGCCTGCAAATAACAAAAATGAAAAGTTTGTGCCTAAATGCTCAATAAAAGCAACCAATTAACAAAAATAAAATAGCCTGACAGTATATAATCACAATAAACAAATATTATATTTTAGATTGCTCTGTAAAGTCCCAATTTTACTCTCTTTAAGGGACTTGAACTGGGGCTAAAATAAACGTCTTACTCAATAAGAAATCCTTGATTTTGACCAAACATACATTTCTTACATTGTACCAAGTAAACCTCCACACAATCAATGTTTTATTCTCTTTCAATACAATATGTAAGTGCATTTTTAAAATGATCAAGAAGTTTTGGCTTTCTAAACTGAACATTTGATGTCCCAACTTGGATGGTAGTTGTGCTTTTCCTTAGTTTTGAGTTTTCCACTCATTTTATACTGCAAATAACTAGTTTCCTGTGCTGTTTTGACCAGATAACCCTTAAAACTCTATAGAATGGAGACACCCAAATGGAAGTGATGAAATGTCACAAACTCATACAGATTGCACTTGAATGGTAGTATTTCTTGGTTTTTATAGTAAGACCTTCATGTCTGATATGTGTTTACATGTTTATGTCACATTTGTGTCCGTGGGTGTGGTGCACGCGAGCGTAAACAATCACAATGAATAAATCACAAACACTACAAAATATACCCAACATAGGCCTGTTATGAATAATCCTCTCCTTCCTTGTAACGATATGAGTCTTGTGCTTCTTCTTGTACAAATTCTTCTCTCTTCTCCCAGCCATCTGGCCAGCCACCATTAATCTGGGTCGTAGCACCGTAAGATTTAGTGGTACCATAATTTACATAATTCTGAGTAATGTCCCCTGTTTCTTCATCAAGTTCATCTTCGTGAATGAAGCCACATTTTTCTTCACTGGTCTGTTCAGGGTCTGCCCATGGTTGCTTTTCTCCTGAAGCAAATATTCCGTAGAATACGACTCCACAATAATGGACCAAAGCAGCAATAAGAAAGACATACTGCCATTCTTCGCGTGTCTAGGACAAAAAAGATGGGGCCATCACAATAGCATAGAAAATTCAGGTCACACTATCAAAATAGTTGTGAAGAATTCTTTTGGCTTACAATGATTTTTAAAGGAAGTATGGAACTATATTTAACTATTGTACATAGGAAGAAGAAAATGTACTGTAAGGGGTAACAGGAAAAGCTAGCTTGAAAAACTTGAAAGTCTTAAGAGAAAATAAGGATAAAATTGTAGCTATATTTTAAAATAGAATGCCCAAGGAATGTTATCCTTATTTCTTATCTTATTCACCAGCATGGATTTTAATTAACATCATAAGGTGAAAAAGCTAGTAAGAATTCACTTTTATTGTGGAATATAACATGTGAATTTACACCATTTATTCTTGTTACATGTGATAATGAATTTGATCAGATTGCATATGAATACAATTTTTTTCAAGGCGAATAATAACCAAAAGTAATTTTGGAAACTGTAATATAGCAAAACTTACTTTGTTTTTTGTCATTGCTCCAACAATTATCGGACATACCATCCCAGACAATGTTCCAACTCCATTTGAAATCCCCATCAAGATACTGGCATATCTCGGAGCAATATCTAAATGATTGACATTGAATCCTGTAATATAAAATCATTCTTATTAACAGAGTGATAGAAAATATAATACTTCACTAAACATTTGTTTTACTTATTATTGTTAGAACAGTATTCATAGTAAACCTTGAGATAACATTAAATTCATTTGGATCCATATTCTTATGTTATATTCTTTCCAACTCAGTGAAATGTTGGAAATAAATTATATACATGAACTCAGGATCTGTATATATATATCCATAAGATAACACTGCAAAAATTAAAACATCGGGACCAAGGCTGGCATAGTGTGAGAAGCTGGAAAAAGAAAGATAGGAAATGATAGGGATGGATCTGCAGAAAACATCTCAGAGACATGTAAATGAGAGACGTAGTCACATAGTGGCTAGAAATGCCATTATGTAAGATCCATTATAAAGCCATTTCTCCACAAGATCCAGAGTGGAATATACACGGCTCACTCTATGCTTCTTGATACAAAATATATCCAGATGCAACATGAGGTAAAACAGAAATACACAATACAGTGAGTTATTCATAAAGAAATGAAATAAAGAAATAAGGTTACTTCCATAGTTAGTATCCGTAATGTTCCATGAGTTTTCCTTAATTTGCTTTTTCTTTCTTTTTTTTCCAAACCTAACAGAATTCTACAAAGTAATATGCAAAGGGATTCAGGATGTGTCAGCACAATTATTCTCTGCAGTTGAACGAATGGTTTCATATGATGGAAGAAGTTGGCCAAAGATTCATACAATGGAAGAAGTTGGCCAAAGAAAAATTTGTCTGACAAATAGTCCAGACCTGCAGAGATACTGCAGCTTGAGAATTTGGTGACTGCTCTATTCTAAGCCCACCTTATTCCTTCCTGTCAGCCACATGCACCAATATGTGCAACCCAGCACATGCCTTCCTGCAGATATAGGCACAAAGAGACACAGTGATGCATACTCAGTTACAACATATTGCCTCATCCAATTAGAACATGTTTTCCTCATGCAGAGGAAAATACAGGTATCTTCTATGACCATTGCTACCATAGTAAAAGAGTTGGAAGAATTCCAGAAGTTAAGCTTTGTATATATTATCTTGTTCGTTATAATGGACTATATTATAGATAAAGAAATTAACTTACCAGATATAGCAAAACCACTGAACCCCACAGCAAGAACAAGGAAGGAAATGGCCACACCTTTACTATGGGAATATCCAACTACTAAGAGAAGAGTTGCTTCCATTCCAAAACCTTAAAGGGGAAAAAATGATAGTATTTATTGTTTTTTCAGAAAATGTACTACAGCTAGGAAGCAGCATCTAGCCAGACCTAGCTTATTTCAAAAAGTTAACAGAGTAAATTTGCTTAGCACTTAGAGGAGACACTTCAGTAAATAATAGAGTTGTAGAATAGATTGGAAAGTCAAAAGGTGTTGGAAGACGATGATGGTAAACTACTTCTATATTGTTGCCAGGAAAAGTATATATACAATATATACAACCATTAAAATGAACTTAAAAGATAAAAATAGGACAGAATAGAATAGAATTCTTTATTGGCCAAGTGTAATTGGACACATAAGGAATTTGTCTTTGGTGCATATGCTCTCAGCGTACATATAGAAAAATAAAATAGAATACATTCATCAAGAATCATAAGATACTTAAAAAATAAAATAAAATGCATAGCA